GGAAGGGACATTGTAACTTGGGCAGTAATGATCTGCCTCCCAGGGTGCTCCAGGGGCAATGCAACAACTCCCTGCCCCTTATTCTGCTCACAGGAAAGCTATAATTGAGCCCTTGGTGTTCAAGAGAAGACTGAGAACATTCCCATGGAGCGTGTCACACCGGAGTGGGAATGTTGGACGCTCTCACCTTGTCTGTCTGGCACCATCTCCCTGTGGCTCCTCCTGTAGCGCATATTCATCCAGATCACAGCACAAACTATGCACAGGAAGAGGAGAACCTTCAATAAAACCGGGAGCAGGAAACAGATGATGATGGATTGGAATCTATGCAGTGGAAATACAATAGAAACTCTAAAGCTCTGTAAATTTGACCAAACTCCTCCCAATAAAACATTCTGGGACTACTCCCAGGCTGAAGATACGCACAGAATTTCATTGTAGAAGATGCAACACACAGAGGCTCAGCACCTTGCCCTTATAGGGAACCACAGCACCTACTTGGGGATTCAGTCATCCCTGTTGTACAGTCTGATGTGACTGGACCCAGACAGTCCCTGTGCAGTGCGACTCTGCATCTAGAATTGCCATTTTCCTACATGTGAATCCAGCCTCACTGGACCTCCAGGTTCTTGCTGATAAAAGCAACATTCATTTTTCTGTGGGAGGTTATCACCAATGAGGTCACTATTCGTTGTGCCTCTGGAGATGGCTCTTGCTAGGGCACCGGGAGAAGTGACCAGAGCGACATGGGACAGGAGTAATGGCACTCACCGGGGAGGAGAGATGTATGCAGTAGGAGAGAACCTTGATTCAGTCTTTGTTGGAGAAGGCGAATCTGGCTGCTTTGTTGCTTGTGATGTCCTTGCAGTCGGGTTTGGGGAATTCAAAAATCATCTATAGGTCTCAGCACCCATGAGATTGGCTTTAAAACCTCAAGAGTTTGTTTATTTAAAAATGACTTTTTGGGTTCATTTTTTATCTTCCATTTTTTGAAATCTGAGGGCACACTTGGGTCACCTATACAAATTTTTCTCTGCTGCAGGGTGTGCTGGAAACGTATCGTTTCTTTTTCTAAGGAAAGCTGAGATTCTCCCATCATCCCAAGAATCCAGGAACTGGGGCTTTAAGCAAAGCAGCGAATGTTGTGAGACTTGCACTAAAACCATGAGAGTTGGTAACATTGGGGCAGCCGAGTGGAGCTGGTGGGGGCTGTGCAGACGGGGAGGTCAGCATGGAGGTGGTGGGGGGCAGGGTTGAAAGAAGAGTGGAGCTCCTGTGGGCAAAATAGGGAGAAGGAGCAGATTCCCGATTCCCCCCTCCCCCAGCATCATGATTCAACGTGGGGTTACTGGAGGTCCTGGGGGTGTGCGGTACTAGGAACCCTAGTGGAGCACATGGTGGAGATGAGGCTAGGAAGGAAAGGCTGGAGGGCATAAGGGGAAAATATGGAAACTGCAAGGGAGAAGGAGAAGAGGGAAAGTCTCCAAGTATGAAGACTGGACTATACTATGCGCCTCACTCACCCCCCATTTACTGTCTCTCTTTTCTAGAGGTGTGCATGTGTGAGAGGGAGAATTGATTAAAGTAACTGAGTCTAACTGGACAAGTGAAATGGCTCAGATAAAGTCACAGGTTTGAAGGCAAAACCATGAACTCAGCTGGAAGGAGCAGAAATCACCCCAGCGAAGGGCAACTGCGTCGTCTCCCCAAATGCCCCTTTCTCACTAAGCTTTTTTCAATCTTTTCTTTAAAATGCCTCAAAAGAAAATTGCCTCCCTTTGGGACAGTCACATTTCCTGCTGGACTTGGCAAAGCCTTCAGCTTTTCTGAAACTTGAAACATTTATTTCTCTCATTTGGGGTCTCATTGCCTGTTCTCTGTTCTATCCCCCTGTCCCTGTTATACAGTCTATAAACCAGAAGGTGGAAATGAACAAGAAAGAGAGTACGTGTAACCAATGAGCTGCTGGGGTAGCCTTTGAGACTTTATCCACTTGGTTCCCAAGAACTCAGCTTGACTCTGAAGGCATCACTGAGGTTCCTTTGATTGTATGCCAATAAATTATACTTGAGTTGATCAGGCTCAAGTGTAGAGGGTGGGTGCAAGGTATACCACACATCCCATGTACATAATCATGAATCAGCTTCTAGACACACTTACACTTAATACTACTGGTTAATAGATCAGATCACACACACTATGACTGGTCCACTAATTTTTGTAGCCAATCCCTGTCTAGATCATGAGCTTTTCACATGCTGCAAGCAATCACATGTTGCTTACTATCCTATTCTCTCTTTTCTACTAGCTACATCTTTTACATATTTACAAGGCTATTGTCAATTCATACTTTGTTCATTGGTTCATGTTCTTGCTCAGAACAGACTGACATGGATGACAATTCATTGTGTGACAATTTTGGTCCCTGTAATGTTCCAGTAATTTAAGGTAAAATATTTTCTGTATTTATTTACTTATCTAAAACTCCCTCCTGAAAGAAACTAATATAACAGCTGTTCTAAGGTAAGAAGTAGGCTATTTTGAATTAACTTAACTATATTTTACATGTTTGAAGACTGAAATGTAACCACAGAATGGCTTTACGTTAACTAAAAGGCAAGTTTAGTATAGTGTTAATAGCCTCGATGCCATAATTGTGATCATCTTATTTTAAATTAGGAAAAAGACTTGTATACAGGGGCCCCACAAAATCTCATAGCCCTGGGCCCACAGGAGAGTTAATCCGGCCCTGGCTCCAGGTTGCCATCAGCAGATCAGAGCAGAGACTCACCTGGGAGAACAGTCAAGTTAACAAGGGAATAAGGATCACCTCCACCTTTCATATTTATTCCACACCAGTAGATCCCAGCATCTTCCAGATTCAGGTTCTCCGTGGTCACAGTGAATGTGCTCGTGCTGTGACTGTCTATGATGGAGACTCTGCCCCGTTTCACCTTGACCTCTGACTTTTCAGTCTCAACAACTTTGGAGCAGCTGTTCCACTGTGCT